ATATTTATTTAATTATTTTTAAGATTGTATTACACAAGAAACATAAGGAGTAAGAACATTTTTCAAAGAAGTATTTATAATCAACATGCGTGACCATAATTAATATTAAACAATATATATATAAAATTTGATTTACACTTGCAGTGACTAGTCAGGATAAATGAGCATTGTAATATCAATCAGCATAAAAATTTTTAATCACAATTTCTTACTCATTTAAATCCCCAAGGTCAAACCTCCAGCTACAAATAAATCAAATTTTATCTTCTATGGCCATAGAACAATATTTATCTTCAAAACGAGTCAAAGACAAAATTTAATCAATCATAGAAAAATAATCACACTAAAAAAAATTTAAGAATTTATCGTTATTTAAACTTTAATTAAATAACATATTAATTAAATGATAATGATAATTACTATAAAATAATTAAACAATAAAAAAATATGAACACCTTAACAGTTATTATAGATAAAAATAAACATAGATTAAGCAAATAAATGAGGTTAGGGACACCTCACTAAATAAATGTAGCAAGAAAATAACATAAATAAATAACATAGTAGTAAATAAAATTTTAAAGAAACAAGGTTCTCCTCCCCCTTACCTTGAAATATAGGTTTGTAGTTATGTAGATTTCTATTTTTTTTTCTCACTGCGCGCTTCTTTTTCCTTCTCTCTTTTCTCTCTTCACTCGCTGTTCTTTCTTTTGTTTATAACGCTGCCAGTTTTTTGTGCCTTCAAATTTACCATCCTTAAGCCTATTTATAGTGTGTATTGTAATGATTACAATAGTTAAAATAGAATGGTGGTTTAATTATAATTAACTAAGTTTCATCTTGGTTAGATAGTTTAGTTGCTTATGGATTTATTTGCATTCAATTTTTTGTCAGAGAAGATTCTTCAATTGAAGAATTATCCTACCACATCCGTTGTATCCATTACACGTCACGTGCATATACTGCATCCGTCTCATCTCGTTTTTATTTTTATTTTTATTTTTTTTTAGATTGACAAATCAATCAATGACGCAACAAGCTTCCTGAACACTCTTGTCTTAGTTGCATATATATCAATAGATGTAGCGCAAGGCATTAATGATGAATAGTAGTAATATAGAGGAAGGAAAATGCGAGGTACGTACCTGATGCATCTATTGTCACGTTCCTTTTCTTTTTCCTTTTAATTATATGTATATAAAAATAAAAAAAATTAAATTATTATTTTAAGAAGAATACACTCATTAATAATAATATTGAAAGTATTGTTCCAGAAATTTAGGATATTACAGGTTATTTTATAACCGATCTTAAAAGTAACTTTTAAGATTGGTTCTTTTGTAACCGTGAGGAATTTAAAATTGTTAACTTTTATAATAAATATTTTATAAACTATATGCAGGATGATTTGCACGATAGTTGATAGTGAAATTTTTTATTATATTGATGCTATATAAAAAATAAACTAATTATTAAATAGTTCTAATAGTTGAAAATATAATAATATTAAATCGCTATTGAATTTTTCTATAATGATTATTTTAAATAATACTTTTCTATCTCAATTTAGCTTTTTATTAACGAAAACGTTTAAACAATCGTGAAAATGAATAAAATAGAATAACTCTAAAATATTTAGCGACATCAGATTATCCATGTAAACAATAATTCGTCACCTCAAAAAAATGATTTATTCAGACTAAAGAAGATTATAACGTGGATTTTTTGTTTTTTGTTTTTGATTTTTTTTTTTAATTTTTATGTCTAATTGAATCAATAAATTTTCATCATTAATTTATTATTTAATCAAAGGAGATTCTTTCCTATATAAACTTATTTAATCAACATTTAACACACACATATATATATATATATGTATATATATATATATAAAAGTTAATAACTTATATACTGCTAGTGTAAAGTTTTTTTACACTGATAACCAATTAGATCTGTTAATAGTGTTATGTCATTTGTTCATTTAATTAAATTAAAATAAAAAAAATACTATTAACAGATCTGATTGATTACCAGTGTAAAAAACTGTAAACTAACAACCAATCAGATCTGTTAATAGTGTCATGTCATTTGCTCATTTAATAGAATTAAAATAAAAAAAGACATTGTTAACATATATGTATTTTCCACATTTACCCCTATCTCTATTAGCAAACAACACTTCATATTGTTTTTTTTTTCTTTTTCTTTTTCTATTTTTTTCACTTATCAATCTCTGTATGTCACATTTATTCTGTTATTCATCTTCCCCGCCCGAGATCCTCTAATACTGAATGGAATCAACTTCGTTGTGACACCACTAGCTACAAACTTTTTCAATTCTTCTATGAGGCTTTGTTCAGAATCCTAGAACTATAATAATAAATTAAAAAAAAATGAGATAATCAATTTTTTAAAATGAAAATGTAAAAAAGGGAAAAATTATTTGAAAACTCGAGTTGTAAACATGGCATATACTAGTTGTCGAATAGCAACTCATTTTGTACAATTTTTTCTTGTTTTATTTTATAAAAAATTATTGATAAGCAATTAACATACAATTAAGTTTAATAAGCTAGCATACACGGCTAGTATAAAAACTTTTATATTATCAACTAGTTAATCAGATAATCGTCTTTATAGTATTACTTTCGAAATAATTATTGTAAAAAATATTACTAGTAATTAATAAACTTATTTATATATATATATA